AAAAAAAAAAAAAAAAAAAATAGTGTGGTATTTTTTGAGGATATGTGGAGGGATTTACAGTTTAACAGCTAGAGTTACTGCGAGGCAATCAGAAATCTTCCTTTTCAGGCAGTGCCTGTGGCTCCAGGAGTAGGGCGCCAGCCCCAAACCTTGCCTTAGCCAAAAACTGCAAAAGAAAAAAAAGAAGAAACCTTCCTTTTCTCTTCTAATAGTAGTTCTAGAAGCATTTCATTTCTTCTTCTCTGTTTTTTCCCTCCTCAGCAAAGAATGGGAGGAAAAATTTGCAAGTTCATAATATAATCTGAGGTAGGAAATACTAGTTATCAGTATGGTACAGTATGGGTGTACATACATGTTAATGAACTTTAACGTATCATCCAAAAATACCATACTGGGACTATATGAGAACAAGATGAGTTTCATAAGCTTCAAAATTATTTTCAAATATTGTTCCTCAAATCACCCAGATGGGTAGTGCAAGCTAAGATTTGAGGACTAGATGTATTGATTTCGTATGTACAGTGCTTTTCCCTGATTTAAGAAAATCTGTTCTTTTCATTATTATCACTATTCACATTATTGTTATTCATTATTATTTATTATTAATTATTGTTACATTTTCCCCCTCCTTTTTCTACAGCAACAGGAGGGCCGTTGATATACAGGACTGAAGCTCCAAACATTTTACAAGGGGAGTTTGAGGAGCTAGAGGCTGGATCCCCTGGGTACACAGTGTAAAGACAGCACCCAACACTGTTGAGGAAAGTTAAGCAGAAACCGCATCACTCATTTACCAGATAGCTGACCTTTTTACCTTTAATGAACTAAAGCAGAGCTACAGAGTTTTTGATATTCTAGTTTAGAGTTTATTACAGGGTGACCTGTAGTGTTACAGTAAGGTGCTAAGGTGGGGGAAAAGTAGTATAGTGGGGCGGTGCCTGTGGCTCAAAAGGGTAGGGCACTGGTCCCATATGCTAGAGGTGGCGGGTTCAAGCCCAGGCCTGGCCAAAAACAGGAAAAAAAAAAGGGCAGTAGAGTGCCGTGGCATTGTAGCTCACAGCAACCTCAAACTCTTGGGCTTGAGCAGTCCTCCTGCCTCAGACTCCTGAGTACTAAGAACTGCAGACGTGCACCAAGCACTGTGCTTGGCTAGTTTTACTATTTTTAGTAGATATGGGGTCTAGCTCTTTCCCAGGCTGGTCTTGAACTCTTGAGCACAAGCAACCCATCTGCCTCAGCCTCTCAGAATGCTAGGGTTATAGGCATGAGCCATTGTGTCCAGCCAGTAGATTTCTATTTTAATAAAGTTTCATTAGAGTATAGTAATTTTATTTTTCCTCTATATTAAAATTAGGGTTACATTTATATAATAAAATTGCTTCAAATGTAATTCACTATACATTTACTAAACGTGTACTATGGGTTTAACTCTGGGTTAAGCATGGCAACAAAACAAAACAAACAGACAAAAACAACCCACTGCTCTCACCATACTAACAATCTGACTAATTAATTAACTGAGCAAATGGTTATTGAGCAAAATATTATGGGTTCCTAAGAAATGAGGATAAATCGGTGCGCAAAACAGAACAAATCCCTGCCTACTGGAACTAGAATTTCAGTGGATGGAAATAAACAATAAACAAGATAGCAGAGAAATGATATGATATATTAAAGGGTGATAATGTTGAGGAGAAACAAACAGCAGGGTCTGAAGTACGAAGTGCTGGGGGGGCCTGTGGCCTGGTAATTTCATAGACTATGGTTACGCAAGGCTTTGCTGGGGTGAAAGCAAATCTGTAAACTATCTAGGGTAAGAATATTTTCAGCAGAGGGAACAGCAACATCTAATTTCTAAGGCAGGACTCTGCTTGGCATGTTGGAGGAACAGTGAAGAGGTCATCGTGGCTGGAAAGAGTGAAAGAGAGGGAGACAGTAGGAAAGGTGGTAAGAGAGGAGACAGAGGGTCAGAGGTGGGGTCTTGTTGGCTATTGGAGGGCTTTTCAGTAGTGAAAAGGGAAGCTCTGTAAGTCTTGACAGAGGAGCGCCATGGTCTGACTTAGTGGTTTAAGGGATCATTCTGTCTGCCATATTCAAGCAGACTGAAGGAATGAAGTGGGGAAGGGCAAGAGGAGAACCAAAGAAATTATTAGAAGAGCAAAAAATCATCCAAAATAATGAAGATAGCTTGAACTAAGATAGCTGTGATGGAAGTGTTAGCTTCTGAATATCCCAAGACTGTGCATTTACTGACAGATTGGACCTGGAAGTGTCTTGCATCAAACAATTACAGAACAATATAAAAAGTGATTTAAGTCATAATGGTAAACTGAGTCTGGTGGTTGAGGAGAAGAAGAGCCTGAGTGAAGGAGAGGGTATGTACAGGTAAGGAATAGAATATAAGCTTGGAGATGATGGAAGAGAATAGTGGTGTTGGGGCAGAAATGGGGGATTTCAGAGGAGGAAGAGGGTTGACTGGGATAGTTTCAGACATGTTGAATCTGAGGTGACGATGGAATCTAAAGTAGGGAAGTTGAATGTTTAGAACATGGAATTAGATAGAGGTCAGGTGGGAAAGGGAGTGAGCAAATGGGGAGAGGGGAGAAGAAAGGGGAGTGCAGAGTCATAGTGTATGGCACATCTCTTCGGGGCAGAACACAATTAAAGAGGGATTTTAACAAATGCAATCAGGGTAACAGAATTCTTTGTACCCTCAATGAATCCTAAACAACAACAACAACAACAACAACAATAATAATAATAAAAAAGATTTGGGAGTGATTCTGTACAGATGCTGATCAAAGACAAGAATGAATGATGTGCAGGGGGACCAAGACCCAAACCCAAGAAAATGCCTATGCCCATAAGGAAGGTGGAGGAAACAGAACAAAATAAATAAAAGAACCCAATGGGAAGCCAAGAGGCGTGCATTTCAAGCAGAGGGTGATCAAGAGTGCCGAGTATTGAGGAAAGGCCAAGGAAAAGGGGGCTAAAAGACAAGCTATCAGACATGGCAAGACGAGTTTTAATTTAAAATTATTTGGTGAGGGTTGGAAGCTGAGTCACAGAGGTTGAGAAGAGAAGGGATTCTGAGACATGGAACAGAAAGGCATCAGCTCATTGTTCATGATGATTTTCAAAATAAGGTCTGTTGGGTTGGGAGGGAGGAATTCCAGTTCCTTCTGTGTTGACTTTATTGTTTATCTGTTGGCCTTGGAGAATGCTTTATATTCACTCCTTCCCGTAATACTTATTATAGGAACCTAATGCCTTCCTGTCACTCCTTCCTATAATAGCTGCTCCTCAAAGTGCATTTAGAATATGGTTTGGTAGGTACAGATAAAAATAATTCATAAGGAGCTTATCTATTGTGTATACACACTTCTGTAATGTTTCATACCATAAGTTAGCTCAGAGATTTCTGATATTTTCTGTTACCTACTTTGGATTTACCCTGAAAACTCAATGCTTAAAAATTCTGATTTCTAAAATAAATATAAATGGGATTATTTACTTTCCAAAATGAAATCTTTGTTAATGGAAAAACATTTATCTCCCTTTTAAACAAGAAACTCCCCAAGAGTTTCTTGAACTCTCTCAAGATTAAGAGAAAAGATGATTTGTAAACATTGCACTTACTTTGGGTTTCAGGGTGCACATCTGTATAGTGTAAAAGGAGGCCTGTGTTTACTACTGATTGGTAAACTTATTTAACAAGAAAATTATTCTGCAATATATAATTTTAATGCAATCCCTCTTA